TCCAACGGTCACCTAGAGTTAGCTAGCTGGTGTCATGCAGACGCCAGGTAGCCATTGGTTTTGAAAGGTTGGGCTGGCTCATTTGGGCCAGCCGGTTGGCCTGATTTGATATTTTTTGCCCGGTGGGGCCCACAAGCCCTTTGGGCTAGCCCTCTGTTAGAGACGGTTTTCGTGTCATTTCGAACTATTTTCGGCCATATGGCCCTTTGGCCGGATCGGTTGACATGGCTTGAAAAGAGGCCAAAGGGCCATGTTGAGCCATATTGCTCTTTAAGAAATTATTTTGTAATGAACAATATATAGTTAATACCACCTCCAACCAAGGGGGCCAAATGGCTATAGGCCAAAACATAGCTAGTTTGACAAAAAACCATCTCCAACTGAAGAGGGCTATTTTTCAGGCCCCTCAATAATTTATTACTTTAATTGAATTAAGATGGTTAACTGAATTAAAATAACATATTAGAATATGGTTTTATGACGTATTTTGAGTGCCACTTGTCGCTAAATGAATAAGCCCTTTCTTTGATTGAAGATGTGGCCATTTGAAAATTATTGAAAATATTAAAGGAAAGATTATTGGAAGAGGTAAGATAATAGAAAGTGAAGAATTGAAATAAAATGAGGTAAGATAGTATAGAATAGTGAAAAGGATGTAGAAGAGTGTGAATATTATTTTGGAGGCATCATTGTTTCTGAGGAATGACGACACATGCCATGCAAGGAGTGGTCCACACTAATGGATTTTGGACTAGGATTCTCTACCATTCTCTTTCCATCCCATTCCATCTCCTCCTCTCACATTCTCTATTTTGTCTTTCTTTTTCTATAAAAAATTAATATAAGATGTTGATGTGGCTTAACCGTGACCGTTCAAATAGGAGGGGAGGGAACGGGAGGTAAAAAAAGAAGGGAGAGAATCCTACTCCATGGATTTGAGGATGCGTTTCGTTCTCAACTAGGACATGTGCCTTTGGAATCTGTGCAATTTCGGTCTCAGTGAGCTGGGGCGTGCCTATTGCCTCCCTGTTTCGGGCTGCTGGAAACGGGCTGGCTGGCTCTTTTTGGCCAATCCACTGGCCTAGTGGATAAAAGTATGGCCTAGTGGGGTTCACAAGTCCTTTGACCTAACTCTCAGTAGGAGACGATTTTCGTGTCAAAACGGGCTATATTTTGGCCTATGACCCTTTGGCTTGGTCAGTTGGATATAGTCATAGCTTTCAAACTTAGGCCTAATGAATCAAACAGGACCAAGAATGAAATGGCTTGGTCGAGGCATACTAAGTCCAAGTAGTCCAAAATAAAGAAAAACATGGAGAAAACTTCGAACCGTGTCACATCAGTGGATACGAATCTTCAAAAATCATGGATGCAAATTATCTCAAATTCAGCAGTTGTGAACCATGTCACATTAATGGGTTAAATTCCCGTGAAAATTACCCAATTGGTCGAAATGGCACAAAGCCACTTCATATTCCAAATGGCACAAAGCCACACAAAACATCCTAAACTACATCAGGTTTGATCTGCTAAGGGTGTAGGCAATTTAGATTCGATCTAGATGGAAACGCACGAAACCTAAAACAAGTCCAAATCAAATCCCTGGTTCACCTCAACCAAATTCACCACAAAATCCAAATTCAAATCAAATCCCAAGTTCATTCAACCAAATTCACCAAAATACAAAATTTTTCTTTCAGTCATTCACTCATCGAAAATCTAGAATTATGCCAGTTTGATTATGCGAAGGATGCGTAATCAGTCTATTATCAGCATAACCAAATCTTTCTTTTTCAGTGAGTCATTCACTCATTGAAAATGATGAAGAACAAGTGGCTTGATCCCTAAAAAAAGGTAGGTAGGTAATCTAGGGTTCCACCTACGTGCAGCCGCAAAATCAAATAAAGACATTGATCTCCAAAATTCATTTTTATCATGTTAGAAGCAAAACATATTTCGTTATTAAAAAAAAAGTGTGATTAATAAACGCATTGTTTAGAATGAGTCGACCCCAAAATTAATAATCTTCCAAAAAACAAATGAGAATAAAATTTTATTGAGTAAATTGTTTGTTACATTTCTTTTACGACTTGGTTTTGGGATTTGGATCCCATCCGGATACAAATTGTGGGAATCCAATTCTAGTCATTCATCGTATATCGTGCAGTCAAAAATCATTTTAAATTTTTATTTAAAATTAAACACAAATAGTACTGAATGAAAACTGATCGTACAAAATAGTTAAAATGTGAAAATCTCTAAGATCCTCACAAAGAAGACCTCATCCTTATTTTTGCTCAGCACTCAATTAAGAGCAGTGTTCTAAAAAATGGCCTAGGCGCTAAGTGGTGGTGACCCGAGGTATTTTCTTGCAAATCGATTGGGCTCTAGGTGGTGCTAGGCGGCTAGGCGTTTTGTTTTTTTGTTTTTTTTTGAAATAAAAAAAAAATATATATCCTATCTAAGTCTAAGTTGTGAACTTGTAATACATGTGTCATCCTACAATACTCCTCACTATGGTTACATGGCATATATGCTTAATGTGTTTTTAAATTGGACTTGTTGGATACTCTTTTTCCATTTTATCATTCTTTTATTATGTTATCCATAGATTTCATACAAGTATAATTTTTTGTAAGTGTCAATATGTACTTATTCACAAGATATAATGAAATTTATCTAAGTCTACCTAGGCTGCCCGCCTAAACCCTCTTAGCGGCCTAGGCGCTAGGCGTCAACCGATGCTGCCCGACTAGCGCCTGACTTTTTTTAGAACCTTGATTGAGAGTGCAGAGTGTCTGATTTGCCCGACATGTATCTACCTAATAAAATATTCATAATATAAAATACTAAACTAAGTAAGGAGCGAGTAAAGTATTCATAATATAAAACAAGGGTTAAGCTCAGTTTACTATCCTAATATTTCCTGGTTTTCAACATTTGGTACATGAAATTTTTTTTCATTTCAGAGTCATACCTCAAGTCTTAATTTTGGGACAATCTCATATTTCAATTAGTCTTTTTGTTAAGGAAGTCGTTAACTGATGATGTGACATTTATGTAGATAATGAATAAGCGCTAGATGTCAATATGACCTACATGGATATTAATTTTTTTTTAAAAAAATTAAAAATTAAACATTAAAAAATTTAAAACCTAAAACCTAAAAAAGAACCCCAACATCGTCCTCTGTGATGAGGATGGTGAAAGCACCCAACATCATCCAACTCTAAAAAGGTCATGGCAAACAAGTCCCACTTTTATTCGATATCTGAGTCGAGCTGGGATAACTTTGTCATTTGTGGATGGGAAGAGTATGACCGGACCAATCTATCTCATTAAAGGATTTTGTGGACAGAGGGCACAGGAACGGAGTTGATGCTCCCACATCCATAGCATGAGTAGTTAAAGCAAGTGAATGATTTGAAATTCGAGAAATGCAAGGAGGATGTATAGCTGATATAGGATCTTGTGGAACAGGATTCTATTTCGCAATGGATCTGGTCCGCTATAGCGAGCTATTTCCAACAGCTCATCTTCGCCATCGATATCGAGATCTGAAGACGTTGCCAAGGTTTTGGACCCCTCTTGGTTCAAAGAATCGGTTTCTAATTGTACGGACGAAGCCAAGATCTAAAGTTGTCGTTTCGTCCCAATCCAATCAGGGTACTCGATTGCAGACAACCCATTCACCGCCACAGCCAAATCCGAGCAGTCGATCACCATCGTGGCCATATTCAACATGCCGTGGAATCTTCTAGAAGGTGGTCTTCGGATCTGGATCGCCATAATTGACGGCTATGCCAGCAAGAGAGGTTGTGGGTTTAGTGAAGGAGATAACTATGGTAGAGAGACAGTCGAAGGATGAGATGGAGGCGGTGAGGAAAGTGGAGGATTTGGGTTCTGGGTGTGTGAAAAATGGCGGCTTGGGAAGCGTGGGTGTGGGTTATCGGAGGAGATGCGGGGGTGGTTGGAGAAGTTGTGGGTGATAAAGACTTTTAAGAAGATGGAGGTTATAATATTTTTTTTTTATTTTATTTTTTTGTTTATTCGTTCTTCTTACTGGAGAAAGGGCTAGGCAAAAAATATTGTTTAATTTTTTAATTGTTTTATAGGTCTATGTGGGGCCCACAATGCCACATTTTGCATTGTCATTGCCCAATCAAGTGCCACATCAAACAGAGTCCTTAACAGAAAGACTAACGGAAATATGAGATTGCCCCAAAATTCAGACTTGAGGTATGACTTTAGGATGAAAGAGTGGGACGATTTAGCGGACAACTGTTATTTTGTCTTTAAAAAAAATAGTAATTAAAAAGGTTTGAATATTTTAAGCTTTAACGATCAAGAAAAAAATAAAAAGTAAAATAAATAGTATAATAATTGATTTTTAATGTAAAAATATGATTTTTCGTTAAAATAAACAATATCGGTAACTTTTATTTAAAATTCTCTTTAAAAAATTGGTTTAAAAAAATATTTTCTTCCTTGCTGCGCTTTTTGATACCGTTGGATCAAAAAAATAAAATGGGTGGATCGATCGATCGTAATTGACTCGTTACTAGCCAGTTCCCAGTATTCTTTTCGGAGTTTTGAGTTTACTTTACCCTACGGTTGTCTGTAGATCTCAAATTTGATCTGGGCTGCCTGCCAAGACATCGAGAGAGAGAGAGAGAGAGAGAGAGAGAGAGAGTCTCTCGCCTGACTTTGACCGTGATATATCAGCACCGTAAAAAAGGCCTTTTTAGTACTACACAGCCAAAGTACCCTCTCTGAATTATCGTCATCAATGCATAGTACACTGCAACCCCACCTCTTCCTCCTCCAGTCCTCCCCCTCTTTCTCTCTCTAAAACCACTCCCTCCGTCCCCCAAATTCAACCCCTTTCTTTCTCTAGAGAGAGCTAGTGGTGCAGAAGGATAAGAACGAACCAAAGCAAGAGAAAAGAAAGTCCCAAAATTGAATGAGTCTTTGTTTGAGAAAGGCATGAAACTACTGCTATGGAGGTGGAGGAGATACAAGCCAGCAACAAGTTCCCAAGAATCGGAAACGGCAGCAGCAGAGATCACAAGCCATCACCCGAAGACGACGACAATCAAGACCCATCATGCCTAGAACTCAAGAGGGACGCCGCCGCCACAGCCGCAGCCGATGCGGGCAACCGTCTCCCCGGTTGGCACCACTCCCGCATCATCCGCGTTTCTGGAGCCTCCGGCGGCAAAGATCGGCACAGCAAGGTCTGGACTTCAAAAGGGTTGAGAGACCGGAGGGTCCGGTTGTCTGTAGCCACCGCCATTCAGTTCTACGATCTCCAAGATCGGTTAAATTACGACCAGCCCAGCAAAGCAATTGAGTGGCTGATCAAAGCCGCCGCCGATGCCATCGCTGAGCTCCCTTCTCTGAACAATTCTTCGTTCCCTGACGCGCCTAAGCAGCTCAGCGACGAGGAGAGGGCGAGCTGCGAGAGTGGAGGGTTTGATCCGGCAGAGATTGAGTTCGATCAGAACTACAACCAGAATCAGAACCAGACCGGGAACCAAAGTCAGGACCTTTCCTTGTCGAAATCCGCTTGCTCCAGTACTTCCGAGACCAGCAAGGGATCCGTGTTCTTGAGTTCTGGAGGTGAAGACACACGCACGACCTTCACGGACCACCTCTACTGTACATTAGAAGACCAGCGATTCAACGTCTTCATGTACGGAGACGAATACGATTGCAAGCTAGAAAAAAGTAATAGAGCTATACCAGAGCACCTGATTCAAGAAATCGAAAGGTCTAAGGTTGCCATCGTCGTCTTCTCAAGAGGGTATCCGGAGTCCGCGTGGTGTCTCGAGGAGCTGGTGAAGATCATGGAGTGCAGAAAAACACTGGGTCAAATGGTTTTTCCAATCTTCTATGATGTTGATTCCTCAGATGTCGTGAAACAGAGTGGTAGTTTTGCACAGGCGTTTCAGAAATATGAACAGGAAGTTAAGGAAGAAAAGGTACTTCTCTGGAGAAAGGCTCTTAATGAAGCTGGAAGTTTGGCCGGATTCAATTTTCCAGAACCTGGCTGGAAGTTTGTTGGAAAATATGACTGGTAATTACTTTCTTATTTCCTTTTTATTTTCTCTACTTTGTGTGGCTGAAATTTCCCTTCCATTTTATTTATTGATCCATTTCTAATCTTTCAAGTTCAAAGATCTAGGTCATTAAAATTTGATAGTGGCTTAATTTAAAAATTATCAAATAAAATAAAAAAAACCTCCCTCTCCCTCCCTCTCCTTTCCAATTTTTTTTTTTCAAAGTGTGTAAGGAAATACTAATAAGTTTTAAAGTTGGTTTGATAATCATTTAGTTTCCAATTTTCAATTTTAATTTTAAATTTGTAACTTCAGTTTTGAGTTTAAAAAAAAAAAAATCCCGAAAACGAAAATGTAAAGTTTGTTGTTTTTGGTTTTCAGTTTTCATAATTTGGCATTCAGTTTTTATTTTATGTTTGCAGTTCCCTTTTTTCTTAACATTGAAAGTTAGTGAAAACGAAAACTGAAAACCGAAAACGACATGGTTTTCAAATGGCCCTTAAGTTTTCACTTTTGCCTTGTTGAAATTTAACAACAAAGATTTCAGTTTAAGGAATTGTAATAGTATCTGGAGATTTTGACTCGTCAATTTCTGAAAGATTAATGTGATCTTGAAGTCGCATAATAAATTTTTACTTTCGCTTTTTTGAATTTTAACAACCAGGAATGAAGGACATTTTATCAGGAACGTTGTTTCTCAGATCACTGGAAAACTGAGCAGAAACAATCACTTAGTGTTACCTACCAAGCTAGTTGGAATAGATTCTCGCGTGCGAGAAATTAGTAAGCATTTAGATGTTGGAGGATCAAATGATGTTCGCATAATTGGAATTTTGGGTATGTGTGGACTGGGTAAGACAACGGTTGCAAAAGCCGTTTTCAACAAACATCATCATAGTTTTGACGGTGCAAGTTTCCTTGAAACCGCGAGCGAAGAGAAACTGGTTGATTTGCAAAAAAAACTTATTTCTGATATCTTGAAACCGGCCTACATATTGGTAAGTAGTATCAATGAAGGGACCAAGGAGATAAAACAAAGGTTAGGCAACAGAAGGGTACTTGTCGTAATTGATGATTTAGACAGCATTCAACAAAGAGATGCTTTGGCTATACAACCTGACTCCTTTGGTCGAGGGAGCAGAATCATTATAACTTCAAGAAACGAACATTTGCTAAAGATACTTAATGTGTATAAGATATGTCCTCTGCCAACAATGAATGAAAGAGAAGCTCTTGAGCTACTTAGTTGGCATGCCTTTAGAAACAATTATCCTAATGCAGAGTATATTGAGCTCTCAAGAAAGGCTGTTGGCTACTGTGGAGGTTTGCCACTAGCACTTGAAGTCTTAGGTTCTTATATACGTACAGAAAGCACAAGTGAATGGGAAACTGTACTGGATAAATGGAAGAGATCACAGCCTTATCGGGAAATTCACAGAAGACTTGAAATAAGCTATGATGGGCTAACTGATGATGACGTGAAGGCTATATTCCTTGACATCTCATGTTTCTTTACTGGAATGAACAAGGACTATGTCATGACAGTACTGGATGGCTGTCAGTTTTATCCAGAAATAGGGATTCGAGAACTCCAAGATCAATGCCTTGTAACTGTTGATAAAGAAGGCAATCTCATGATGCATGATTTGATTCAAGGCATGGGCAGAGAAATTGTGCGTGCAGAATCCCCTGACAATCCTGGAGAGCGTAGTAGATTGTGGCATAATGAAGATATAACAGCCGTATTGACAAAACAATCTGTGAGTACTTTCTGCAATTAAATTTGATGTTAAATGCACATACTAATGTAGCAGAGAAAGGAACCTGTAAGAGACAACAAAGGAGCCGATTGTATTGAATTTTCTCAAATTAAATAGCAGAATCAACATGTCCTGCTCTTCTTAAGTGCAATTTGTTAAATATGATACCTGTAACAGAAGCTTGCTAAAGATACATAACTAATGTAGATAGTTGTAAAGGACAACTCTATGGTTATTATCCAGACATATGTGCACATTATAGTGTGTGTGTGTGTGTGTGTGTGTGTATATATATAGGGGTGTGATATCCACACATCCCTTTTTACTTCTCTCACACCCTTTTAATTTTCGGCCGTCGGATTGGATGAATTGAAGAAGATCAAAGGACAGAAATTAACAAGGGGTGTGAGAGAAGTAAAAGGGGGTGTGTGGATAGCACACCCCTATATATATAAGTACATAGCGTAGATATATATATATATATATATATAAGCACATCATAGTAGATATATAATAAAAATTGCCTATGAGAGGTCCCATGTTCTATATTGTCTAATTGTCTACCTCTCATGTGGTTCATCCATCCAATTCAGGGCTTTGTGGTTCTGATATATGAATTAATCGTCTTTTCCCGTGCCAATAACCCTTTTCTTGGTTTTTTTTTTTATTATTTTAACTTTTAATTATTTATATGTAATAGGGAGCGGAAGACGTTGAAGGACTCGCTTTAGATGTGCAAGAGTCTGATGAGCGTAGCTTCAGTTCAGACTCATTTAGAAACATGCAGAGTCTGCGATTGCTCAAACTCAATAACATAAAGCTCACTGGAAGTTACCACAATCTTTCCAAAGAGTTAAGATGGTTGTGTTGGCGTGGATTTCCTCTGGAGGTCATACCAAAAGATTTTGATCAACCAAACCTAGTTGCTATTGACCTGAGCTATAGCAAACTCATACGAGTTTGGGAGGATTCCGATTTGGTATGATATGGCCTCAACCAAATTATTTATTCTTTCTTCCAAGTTTCATAAACATGAACTCCTTGCTTCCTCTTTTCCGTTTGTATTTATTTTGGTTTTTTTCTTTTGTCTAACAGTTGCTTGAGAAGTTGAAGCTTCTTAATCTCAGTCATTCCCATAACCTGGCACAAACACCAGACTTTTCAAAACTCCCAAATCTCGAGGAATTGATTTTGAATGATTGTGAGAGTTTGTCCGAGGTTCATTCATCCATTGGGAATCTTGAAAGACTTACTTTGGTAAATCTTGAAGGCTGCAAAATGCTCAAGGATCTCCCACTGAATTTCTTTAATTCCAAGTCTATTGAAACTCTTCTTCTTAACGGCTGTTCAAGATTTGAAGACTTGGCTGAAGGCTTGGGAAAGAGTTACCATAAGACAGCAGATGGCTCACCCATAAGACAAATACTAAAGTTGAGATTTTCATCTCAATATGGAGTGAAAGAGTCACCATCAACTAGTCTTTTGCCCCTTTCTTTTCATGGCTTAAACTCTTTGCGGAAATTAGATCTTGGATGCTGCTCTTTAACCGATGATGAAATCCCGAAGGATCTTGGGAGTCTAATTTCTTTAGAAGATTTAGATCTTCGAAAAAATAGTTTTTGTAGCCTACCAAGCCTCAGTGGTCTTTCTACGCTTGAAACATTGTGTTTAGATGATTGCACAAACCTACATGCAATCCCAAATTTACCAACAAGTTTGAAAGTCTTGCGAGCGGGTTTGTGCACTGCATTAGAAACAGTGCCAGATTTTTCAAAATTGTCGAATATGAGAGAGTTGTATCTAAGTCATTCCTGCAAACTCACCGAGATTCCGGGCTTGGAGATGTCATTAAACTCGATGACAAGAATTCATATGGAAGGGTGCATCAATCTCACTGCTGATTTTAGGAAGAACATCCTTCAGGTCTCTCTCTCTCTCTCTCTCTCTCTCTCTCTCTCTAGCCTGTTCTCTTTCTCGTTCTACGACACACACCGAAGCACTTGTATATGACACCATATATATGACACATGCATGCATAACAATGTATTGTTGTTACAAATCTGGCTCTACATGGTACAGGGATGGACTTCTTGCGGATATGGTGGCATTTTTCTCAATGGAAATTATATTCCTGACTGGTTTGATTTTGTCAAGGGTGATCCGGTCAGTATTCACATACCTCAAATTGTTGGTCGCAATTTTAGCGGGTTGACTCTTTGCTGCATATACTCTTCAAAGACACAACGTGAAGGTCCTCTCGGCATTATCGTTAGCAATAAAACCAAGCGTACTGCTTTGCTCGCCCGGATAACATATGCCTCGGTACCAACTTCCTGTACACTTGATGACCATTATCTTTGGCAGGGGCATATATCGAACTATGTGCTAAGTTTGCAAGGAGGGGACAAGGTCGATATAGTTGTAATGCCTGTTGAAACTGCAGATGCTTCTGTGAGAGTGAAGAAAATAGGGGTTAATCTAGTATGGGACAAAGAGATGAAGGAAAATATGCATGCTTCAGACTTTAATCTCTATGATTTTGGCCTACATCCGGTTTGGTTCTTGGGAGCTAATGGGTACTTTCTTATCTCTTTTTTCCTTTCCCGTATTTTGTATTTTTTTCCCTGGTCCATTTTTTTTATACACAAGTATGCGGTACCTTAGTTCCTTCTTGCAGAAGTTATTAATTGGCTACATAATGTATTGGTCTATTTAACTCTCATATTTATCAAATGTCAACAAACAATGAACTTATATAACTACGGCTTAGGGTATTTGATTTTAAACATTGCAATGTAGAGCTTCCAGACTCTTCCATGAGAAATCTGTGTTATTTATGGTCAGATATTGAGCTAACCACATGAATCAAATATTTGATTTTACACATTTATGCATATATAAATATAAGTTCTGAAGTTCATAATGCTTTAATGGTTTTTGAAGATTTTGATTTGGGCTTTCAAGTCTTCCACTCCCAAGCTTTGTAGTCATAGTGAGTAAGATATTAGTTCAATTTAATTGTGCCATTTTTTTAGTAGATCTTACTTTTGATGAATTTTGAATTGAATTTTACCTACCAGGTATGAAGGATTCAGTACTAGAGAACTGAAGAACAATTACTTGGACGTAGCCATACACCCAGTTGGAATAGATTCTCGTGTGCAAGAAATCAGTAATTATTTAGATGTTGGAGGATCAAATGATGTCCGTATCATTGGAATCTGGGGTATGGGCGGACTGGGTAAAACAACGGTTGCAAAAGTAATTTTCAACAAATATCAGCACATGTTTGATGGTACAAGTTTTCTTCCAAATGTGAGAAAAGATGAGGAACTGGTTGATTCACAAAACAAACTTCTTTCTGATATCTTGAGATCGGGAAACATGAAGGTTAGTAGGATCTATGAAGGGACCAAGGAGATTAAAAGAAGACTTGGCAACAAAAGAGTACTTGTTATAGTAGATGACGTAGACCGCGATGCACAGTTAGATGCATTAGCTCTAAGGCATGACTCATTTGGCCCAGGAAGTAGAATTATTGTAACAACAAGGGATCAACATTTGCTAAAGATACTTAACGTGGAGGCGATTTGTCCTTTGCAAGAAATGAATAAAGAAGAAGCTCTTGAGCTATTTAGTTGGCATGCCTTTAGAAAGAATTATCCTAATGAAGAGGACGTTGAGCTCTCAAGAGAAGTTGTTGACTACTGTGGGGGTTTGCCACTAGCACTTGAAGTCATAGGTTCTTATCTACGTTCAACAAGCACAAGTGGATGTGGAACTATACTGGATGAATGGAAAAGCTCACAGCCTTATAGGGTAATTCTGGAAAATATTAAGACAAGCTATGATAGGCTAAATGATGACCTGGTGAAGGATGTATTCCTGGATATAGGCTGTTTCTTTATTGGAATGAACAAGAACGATGTCACGACAATATTGGATGGCTGTGACTTATATCCAGAAAAAGGAATTCGAGAACTCCAAGATCAATGCCTTGTAACTGTTGATACACAAGGCAATCTGATGATGCATAACTTGATTCGAGACATGGCCAGAGAAATCGTACATGCACAATGCCCTGACCATCCTGGAGAACGTAGTAGATTGTGGTATGATATGGATGTCATGGACATATTGGAGGAACAATCTGTAAGTACTTCGGCAATCAAATCTCATGTTAAATATGAACTTCATTAAGGGATAACTATATGCCACCTATTATTTCAATAATTAACTTTTAAAATTAAAAACGCCAAACCCAACCAGTAGATGCTGAAGCAGTTACCACTCACCCCTCCAACCCTCCACCCATATTTTTCCTTTTTTAAATTCAGAAATAGAAGTCCAAAACAATATTAAAGGCACACGCGTGTGCCAAGGGTTTAGTAATACGTAAAGTAACACCGTGTAACCGATGCCGACTGAGATACCTAATTAATTTGGTAAAATGTAAATCACAACTGAATTCATTGCTTTCTTCATGTGTATAAATTCTCTTGTCACGTGAAAATAAATTTTGTCTTACTTTGTTCCTTTTTTCTTTTCCTTGAATAGGGAACTGTGGCAATTGAAGGACTTGCTTTAGTTTTGTCTGATGGTTCAAGGTTCAGTACAGAAGCATTTAGAAAGATGCGGAGTCTAAGATTGCTCAAACTCATTAACGCAAAGCTCACTGGAAGTTACAACAATTTTTCCAAAGAGTTAAGATGGTTGTGTTGGCATGGATTTCCTCTGGAGGTCATACCTTTAGATTTCGATCAGCCAAACCTAGTTGCTATTGACCTGACCTGGAGCAAACTCAAACGAGTTTGGGAGGATACTGACGTGGTATGATACAATCTCAAACAAATTATTAATTATTTTCTTCAGCTTTTGTGAATACCAATATCTTGCTTTCTCTCTTGCATTTGAATTTTTATTTTGTTATCTGTTTTTTCCTAGCAGCTGCTCAAGAATCTGAAAATCATCAATCTCAGTCATTCCCATGACCTAACAGAATCACCAGATCTTTCCAAAGTCCCAAATCTTGAAAAACTGATATTGGTAAACTGTACAAAATTGTCTCAGATTCACCCATCCATTGGGCATCTTGAAAGACTTTCGTTGGTAAATCTTGAAGACTGCAAAACGCTTCAGTATTTTCCACGGGATTTCTATAAGTCAAGGTCAGTTGAGACTCTTATTCTTAACGGCTGTTCAGGTTTAAAAATGCTGGATGACAGCTTAGGGGGGATGGTATCATTGACAACACTTCAAGCATGCGATACAAGGCTAAGGCAAGTACCATCTTCAATGGTAGGATTGCAGAACCTGACATTTTTAGACCTTAGCAGCTGCCGGTCAGCTTATGGTGCAATTGATCGCAATAGGTTTTGTATCCTACCGAGCCTCAGTGGACTCTCCAAGCTTAAAATGTTAGATTTGAGTTCTTGCTGGGATCTTCGTGAAATCCCAGATTTACCAACAAATTTGGAAATCTTGAGAGCGAATGAATGCATTTCACTTAGAAAAATGCCAAATTTTTCGGAAATGTCTAGTATGGTTGAACTGCATCTGGATCTCTCCCCCAAACTCACTGAGATTCTAGGCTTGCATGAGTCGTTAAACACTATGAGAAGGATTCATATGGAAGGCTGCACCAATCTCACTGCTGCTTTTAGGAAGAACATCATACAGGTCTCTCTCTCTCTCTCTCTCACGCACACACAAACATGCACACATACACGCGTAAGACATGCATGTACTAGAATATATTACTTATGCATAAGAATGACGTGTACATGCTGAGTTTTAGGAAGAACATCCTACAGATCTCTCTCTGAGAGCTGTATTCTCTTGCTCTCTCTATCACACGCCCACAGAGGCACTGTACATGACACACGCATGCATAATTAAGACTTTTGCTTCTACAAATTAATCTGGCTTTACATGGTATGCTCTAGGGATTGACTTCTTTCCGACATGGTGGCATTATTTTTCTCAATGGAGTTTATGATATTCCAGAGTGGTTCCAGGTTGTTGGTATTCATGAGTCCAATGATGTTCGTTTTAAAGTGCCTCGATATTTGGGTCGTAATGTTAGAGGATTGACTCTGTGCTGTGTTTTCATGGGGAATTGTCCTGGATTTACTGTTACTAATATTACCAAGGGTAAGGCTTTGCACATCCCGGGAGAATCTAGATCCGTTTTCACTGGTAGTGTACTCCGTTTGCAAAGTGTATTATCAAATGATGTACTCCGTTTGCAAAGTGGGGACGAAGTCTCGATTTCTGCAGTTACGACAAGATTGGTTGGGATAGGGGGATTGATGAAAACAGGAGTTAATCTAGTCTGGGATGATGGTGATGGCGGTGACGCATACTCTAGCAAGGACGACATTGTTGCCGTACCAAGCAATACTACGTCTGACGAGGTTTGTACTTCCGAAATTATTAGAGTTATATCTTATATTTGCCAAATTTTAGCACCTAAGTTTAGGGCATGTTTGGTATTTCACTTGAATCCAACTTTTTAAACTCAAAAACAATTTTCAAGTTTTAGGCCTTAAAAACTTGTTTGGTATAACTATTTTAAAAAACTGAACTCAAAACTAACTCAAAAATATAGTTTATTCTCCAAAAACACAAAAAGTGAGTTTTTAAACTTAAAACTCTTTTTTCTTTTCTCTCCCTCCTCCCCTCTCACTCCAAATCTATCTCTTTTCTTCTCTCGCCCCCTTCTTTTTTTTTTCGATCTTTTTCGTCTCTCCTTCAATCTGTTTTCTTCATTCTCTCGGTTCTTTCTCTCATTCCTTTTCCTCTCTATCTCCTTCGATCCTCTCTTCTCTCTTTCATCCAATCATCTTACTTGCTTTCCTCCTCTCTTCTCTTTCTCCCTCAACCCCTTCTTTTTGGATTTCTTTGTTCAGTTTGAGTTGTAAAATTTAAAATTTTTAATTCGCATCCCAAACAAATTTTTGATTCTTAAAGAAAATTGTTTTTAAGAAAAGTTCTTAAGAATTGTTTTGGTTATTTTTATTTTTTGTCCTGTTTTTATTTTTGGTTTTCTATATAATTAAACTTCTTTAAATTAATAGCCTCAAGACCCAGGAAGACTATTATTTAGCAAAATATTAAATAAACGATAAATTAAAAATTTATTAATTTATCAACGTATTTTGTATTTTATTAAATACTATAAATTGTATTTAGTTTCTTATCTCAAAGATGTAAAGAAATCAACAATTAACCATAGTTGTATACTTTTTTTCTAGACTCTTCCATCTCCCTCATTCCACACGGACAGTTATCCGCCCATGGCTTCCGATCTCAAAATGCGTGGGAAGGAGGTGTCCATCTATGACCCCTTGGAGTTGGCCGTAGCATCTGTCAAACCAAAGTACGGGCTTTAATTCTACCAGAAGCTAGAAGAAGTGGTTGTGACTATATTCGCCAAGGGCATACCAGCCAAAGACGTTAATGTTGAGTTTGGTGAACAAATACCAAGTGTTAGCATTGATGTTGCTGGTGAACATACATATTATTTTCAGCCTCGCTTATTTAGAAAGATAATACCTGAAAAGTGCAGATTTGACGTTCTGTCCACCGAAGTTGAAATTCGCCTGGCTAAAGCTGAACCATCACACTGGACATCTCTTGAATTCGGCAAGGACAACTCTGTTCCACTAAAGTGGACAACTCTGTTCCACTGAAGGACTGGAAATCTCTTGAATTCAGGAAGTACAACCCTGTTGCACCAAAGGCGTAAAGGAAAAAAAAAAATTGGCAAAAATTGAGGGCGTTTTTGTTATTTTATTCTTATTTAATGCAGAATTTGTATGAAATGATCAAAATGATTGATTGTGAACAAATTCAGATGCTGATTTTATCGATTTTAAACATCATAGATGTAAATCACCACATCAAAAATGTCATGCCCCAAACTGTTAGCGAAGGGCATGAACTCTGGACTACCACTAAAGTAAACAATCAGTCACCTTAAGCTTAATGGAGTCTGAAAAATTCCTTCAATACTCACTCGACCAGAAAACCTTACATAACTAAAATTCCCCCGTACTTTCCCCAAAAGGGTAATAAATTCCCATTCCTTACGCCTAGCTCCACATGAGCTATTACAATTCTTCTATCAAATCTCATTTTTCTCTTTTGAAACATTATTAGTTTTCTCTCGTTGAGATTTCACCATAAAACTAATTAGCAATATGTTATATAGGGAATAGTCCCACATCTTATAGGCCCTTGTAGGATTTCGATTTCGATTTCTGATCATGGTTATATATCTTTGATTTTTGCTTTTATTCTCATTTTTCCATCTACATATCTTATGTGTTTGCCCAATTGCTCTTTAGTTTCTGATTATTTATATAATTGTGTGTTTCTTGAATTTGTTGCAGACCTGCATTTTCTTCTTTCCCAACATGGCATTGGCAGGAAGAAAGTGAGGTGACGTTGAATTTAAACTTTCTCAGGAGAATTCATTTAATGGTGAATCTTGTGTATTATATGCAAAGATTTCATTGTACTTGTACGTTTCTTGCGTCTCAAGTATCGAAGGGACGTCCTGTATAAATATTTTGTGTGATTGCGCTGGTGAATGGTTGGCTAAGTGATTCAACACATTCTACAACTTATGCTCATTAGTCTTTCACATATTCGTTAATCACCTGAGTTGTCTGCGCATGAACTCGATTGTTGTTAGATATGGAGCAATTGCTGAAGATGTCCTAGTATTATTGACCATTGAATTGTTTTATTCTTCTTGTGAAAAAGGCTCTAATTGATTCTTAATTTTGAGGCATTCTCCGTAGAAATAATAGATTAACAACGTAGTAAACATATTGGAGATTGCTGATGGTGATCACAACAGAGAGCTTGCGATTTATTCGGTTTTACCCATCACAAACTGAAGGTATTATATGTTGCCTCTTGAAAACTATTGAGTGAGCAGGCTTGAGTTCAAAAGATAAGCAGAATGGACTTCAGTGATGGGTTTGTATCAAAGGAGCATCGGGAGCTTCACCGATCTGCTTCAGAAAGTGCAGATCCATTATCTGCGTCTCCATTGCCCGTTTCTCCAAGGTCCCATAAGTTCCCTAAATCTTCAAAGTCCCCAAAGTCTCCAAAGATTCAGGGGAAACATGGAAAAGTAACTCCACTCAAGCATGATAGACATTCACATCCACTCAAGCATGATAAACTGCACTTTTGAAATTTTCTCATGGATTCGGTTTGAAGGCATTCTTTTGCATTATATAATTGCTAGCAAGAGGCACTAGCGAACAACGTTTTAGACAATGTCGTATAGCTACATATTGTTACCTGACGTGTGCCTTGGAAAGTTAACTCTAGGCATTTACCATTATCTGATGGTTAATAAGCAAGAGTTCCGAATGTCAAAATTCAAAATTAGGTTTTTACTCTTAATTTTATGAAGATTATCATAATGCAGGTGGTTCTGGGGGTAAAGGCACCTGGGGAGGGTTACTTGATAAAGATGACAGTTTCACTGCTGACCCGAATGACCCAAACTTCAATAGCATTGAGGTAAGTAAATGAACAGCTCACACCTTCATATTTAACTCTTTTTGGATCTTGTTATGAAAAATGATCAGTTTATTTGCCATCTTCAATATTGATTATCTTATTTTCATTGTGTTTACCAATTACGTGTATTGGTTGCAGGAATGTGAAAATTCCGATGCAAGAAAAGAGAGGGTCGATTTTGAGGAGTACAAAATGAAAGCTACAATAGTAGTGGAGGAATACTTTGCTACTGATGACATTACCTCGACTGCAAATGAACTTAGAGAGCTTGATAGGCCTACATACAACTACTATTTCGTAAAGAAGCTTGTCTCTAAGGCGATGGATAGGCATGATAAAGAAAAAGAAATGGCTGCTGTTCTTTTATCTGGACTATATGCTGACTACATTGACCCCCCACAAGTTTACAAGGGGTTCTGCAAATTGGTAGAATCTGCGGATGACTTCATTGTGGATATACCTGATACAGTTGATGTCCTTGCACTGTTCATTGCCGAGCAGTGGTTGATGACATACTTCCTCCTGCATTCTTGAAAAAACAAATGAACTATTTACCCAAAGATTCGAAAGGGATTGAAGTATTGAAAAGAGCTGAAAAGGGCTACTTAGGAGCCCCACTCCATGCAGAAATCATTGAGCGGCGATGGGGAGGTAGCAAGAAAATGAATGTGGAGGATGTCAAAGCTAAGATTAATGATTTGTTGATAGAGTATGTAGTGAGTGGTGAGAAGAAAGAGGCGTGCAGATGCATCAAGGATTTGAAAGTTCCTTTGTTTCACGATGAAATAGTTAAATGAGCTCTTGTTATGGCAATGGAGAGGTGTCAAGTTGAAGGCCAGCTACTAGATTTGCTGAAAGAAACTGCTGAAGAAGGTTTAATAAACTCAAGTCAAGTACCAAAGGCTTTAGTAGGATGATTGACTAGGTTGACGACTTATCACTCGACATACCAAATGCACGGGGTATATTGCAGTCATTGATCTCCAAGGCAGCATCAGAGGGCTGGTTGTGTGCTTCATCTTTGAAATCACTCCCTCTGCAACCAGAAAAGCGATCTTTAGAAGATAGTGTTGCCAAAGTTTTCAAGACGAAGGTCCAATCTATTATTCAAGAGTACTTCTTATCTGGGGATATCTCAGAAGTAAACGGTAGTCTAGAGTCTGAGAATAGTACTTGTTCACCTGAGCTGAATGTTATCTTTGTTAAAAGATTGATAACTCTAGCAATGGATCGGAAGAACAGAGAGAAAGAAATGGCATCCATTTTACTGTCATCCCTGTGTTTTCCAGCTGATGATGTTGTAAATGGGTTTGTGATGTTGCTAGAATCTGCAGATGACACAACTCTGGATAATCCAGTAGTTGTCGAAGATCTTGCAATGTTTCTCGCTAGATCTGTGGTGGACGAAGTTCTAGCCCCACAGAACTTGGAAGAGATTGGAAGTCAGTGCTTGGCACAAGAGTCAATTGGGAGCAAGGTCCTTAAAATGGCCAAGTCATTGCTAAAGGCTCGGCTTTCTGGGGAGCGGATATTAAGGTGTTGGGGTGGTGGTGGCAGACCTGGATGGGCAGTTGAGGATGTGAAGGACAAGATTGGGAAGTTGCTGGAAGAGTTTGAGTCTGGAGGGGATGTAAGAGAGGCTTGCCGCTGCATGAAGGAGTTAGGCATGCCATTTTTCAACCATGAGGTTGTCAAAAAAGCTCTGGTGACGATTATGGAAAAGAAGAATGAGAGACTTTGGATTTTGCTGGAGGTATGTTTTGGCTCTGGACTCATCACAATGAACCAAATGGCAAAGGGGTTTGGTAGAGTTGCAGAGTCTCTAGATGATTTGGCTTTGGATGTTCCTGATGCCCAGAAACAATTTACACATTACGTTGAACGAGCAAAGAATGCAGGGTGGTTGGATTCCTCATTTTGTTTCAGCAAATCAGGACACAGTACAGAGAATGGCACTGGCTAATTAGTTAGCAATTTTCTGAATCGCACATACGAGTGTATACACACAAAATATGCATGCAACCAAGCATATTGTAAACAGCTAGTTACATTTTCCTTGTCCATCATTAGCTACTCTCTCCTCCTTTTTTCTGGCTTATTGATCATTGATCAATTGAATACTGGTAGATTTTCTTTTGGATGAGTAGGAGATTATTTTTCAGTGTCATCGCGGAATAAGCAGACTGAGATGCACACGATTATCTGGTTTCTCGGCATAAGAAACGCAATAAATACTGCAGAAACTCAAAAGCAAGTCCATTACCGATTACTAGCTGATAAACCCCTCACAAGATTCCTATTCTCAACACTGTTCTTTACATTGGGAAGAACTGTGGCATGGATATATCTAGTTTCTTGTGTGACAAGTAAACTGAATTAACTGATCTTTCGTGGGGCATTAAGTCTTGTTAATTCTACTTTTTATACATCTCAGAGCAGTGACAACAAATGCATTCCAACAGAGAATCTCTCATTCATATTTCATCAAAACTGTAGCTACTCATCTTGGCTCCCAATTCACACTAATATACAAGTGTTCTTTTTTTTTTTTTCACAAAACAATATGCATCTTGTAATCCTACCGGACGCAGATAAATTGACCAACAAAAAAAAAAATCAGGCGCAGGTAACAAAATGTTTTGATTAAATTTTTTTGTTATAAACTATAAAATACACTACGAAATTTTTTCAATTCTCTCAACTGTTTGAAATTATTAAAAATAAATTTCTAATTGAATGCAACTAGAATGTTATAAATTTCTTTAAAATCATAATTCAATACACTTGAATTTCTAAAAATTTTAATAAACTATCTTAAAATTTTGATTGAATACAGGTTGAATTTCAAAAAATTATTTACAATTTAAATTAAATATGTCTAAATTCATTAAAGAGAATTAAAATCCATTTAAAATCTCAGTTGAATCCGTCCGGCTAAAATCGAGTTATAGAGGACATAAAGGGGAACCGCCTGCAAGCATATGCGTGTTGACCCGTTTGCCTTTAATGCCTCCGATGCGCACCTCAAAAACAAAACCTATAAATAATACAATACAAACTTGGACATAAAATATTGCAACCTAAAATCCAAAAAAATGGACGAGAAAGCCGACAACAAAACCGGGGAAATCGAGGAAACGGGTCCAAAATCCGACGGGTCTTCTCCTAATCTGAATCTCAAAACTACGAGGACGAAGGTTCCAGAAGTGGAAGTCTGCCTGTATCGACAAGGGAAAGGCCACATTTTGCATTGTCATTGCCCAATCAAGTGCCACATCAAACATAATCCTTAACAGAAAGACGAACGGAAATATGAGATTGTCCCAAAATTCAGACTTGAGGTATGACTTTGGAATGAAAGAGTAGGACGATTTAGTAGACAGCTGTTATTTTGTCTTTAAAAAAAAAATAGTAATTAAAAAGGTTTGAAAATTTTAAGTTTTAACGATCAAGAAAAAAATAAAGAGTAAAATAAATAATACAATGATTAATTTTTAATTTTTAATTTAAAAATATGATTTTTCGTTAAAGTAAACAATATCAGTAATTTTTAATTAAAATTCTCTTTAAAAAATTGGTTTAAAAAAATATTTTCTTCCTTGCTGAGCTTTTTGATACCGTTGGATCAAAAAAATAAAATGGGTGGGTCGATCGATCGTAATTGACTCGTTACTAGCCAGTTCCCAGTATTCTTTTCGGAGTTTTGAGTTTACTTTACCCTACGGTTGTCTGTAGATCTCAAATTTGATCTGTGCTGCCTGCCAAGACATCCCTGGAGTAACAATTGATGGATTCATCGTCCAAAGACGATCCGATGTATGACGTGTTCTTGAGTTCTGGAGGTGAAGACACACGCACGACCTTCACGGACCACCTCTACTGTACATTAGAAGAGGACCGATTCAACGTCTTCATGTACGGAGACGAATACGATTGCAAGCTAGAAAAAAGTAATAGAGCTATACCAGAGCACCTGATTCAAGAAATCGAAAGGTCTAAGGTTGCCGTCGTCGTCTTCTCAAGAGGGTATCCGGAGTCCGCGTGGTGTCTCGAGGAGCTGGTGAAGATCATGGAGTGCAGAAAAACACTGGGTCAAATGGTTTTTCCAATCTTCTATGATGTTGATTCCTCAGATGTCGTGAACCAGAGTGGTAGTTTTGCACAGGCGTTTCAGAAATATGAACAGGAAGTTAAGGAAGAAAAGGTACTTCTCTGGAGAAAGGCTCTTAATGAAGCTGGAAGTTTGGCCGGATTCAATTTTCGAGAAACTGACGGTGTTGGAACCAAATCTGCCGGGTAATTACTTTCTTATTTCCTTTTTATTTTCTCTACTTTGTGTGGCTGAAATTTCCCTTCCATTTTATTTATTGATCCATTTCTTCTAATCTTTCAAGTTCAAAAATTTAGGTTATTAAAATTTGATAAGAGTTTAATTTAAAAGCTATAATAATTTTAGCAGTTGAATAAAATTTTAATAATCCGGATTTTTAAAATTGGTAGATTAAGAGAAAGAGATCCAGTGATGATTCATTTCCTTATCTAAGCACTAGATACTCAGTGCTATGATTTGATGGTATAATTTTTTATTTAGAAGTGAGAGATTTAAGTTCGAATCTCATAGATGACGAATTCGATACCAAATTAGGTTCTTCATTGTATAACTTAGCCGCACTTCTTATTTTCTTAATGTAAAAAATATCGATGTATTAAAAAAAATCTCTTTCTCAATTAAAAGAGACTAAAATGATTATTTAATCTTCTCCTACAAAAAAATAATAAGCAATAATGTAATTTTATAAATTTATTTATTTATTTATTTTTAGTGAAGCCTAAAGATATCTCTAATATTAAAAAAAAAAAAAAAAAAAAAAAAAAACCCTCCCACTCCCTCCCTCTCCTTTCCAAATTTTTTTTCAAATACTAATAAGTTTTAAAAACCATTTAGTTTCCAATTTTCGATTTTAATTTTAAATTTGTAACTTCAGTTTTGAGTTTTTGAAAAAAAAATCCCGAAAACCAAAATGTAAAGTTTGTGATTAATGTGATCTTGAAGTCGCATAATAAATTTTTACTTTCGCTTTTTTGAATTTTAACAACCAGGAATGAAAGAAATTTTATCAGGAACGTTGTTTCTCAGATCACTGGAAAACTGAGCAGAAACAATCACTTAGTGTTACCTACCAAGCTAGTTGGAATAGATTCTCGCGTGCGAGAAATTAGTAAGCATTTAGATGTTGGAGGATCAAATGATGTTCGCATAATTGGAATTTTGGGTATGTGTGGACTGGGTAAGACAACGGTTGCAAAAGCCGTTTTCAACAAACATCATCATAGTTTTGACGGTGCAAGTTTCATTGTCTACCTCTCATGTGGTTCATCCATCCAATTCAAGGCTTTGTGGTTCTGATGTATGAATTAATCTCCTTTTCACTTGCATATAACCCTTTTCTTAGTTCCTCTGTTGTTGTTGTTGTTGGTTTGTATTTAATTTTCAACTATTTTTTGTAATAGGGAACGGAAGACATTGAAGGACTCGCTTTAGATATGCAAGAGTCTGATGAGTGTAGCTTCAGTACAGAAGCATTTAGAAAGATGCAGAGTCTGAGATTGCTCAAACTCAATAACATAAAGCTCACTGGAAGTTACGACAATCTTTCCAAAGAGTTAAGATGGTTGTGTTGGCATGGATTTCCTCTGAAGGTCATACCTAAAGATTTCGATCAATCAAACCTAGTTGCTATTGACCTGAGCTATAGCAAACTCATACGAGTTTGGGTGGATACTGATGTGGTATGATACGATCTCAAACAAATTATTAATTATTTTCTTCAGCTTCTGTGAATACCAATATCTTGCTTTCTCTCTCTTCTATTTGAATTTTTTTTTTCTTTTCTTTTCTTTCTTTTTTTTAAAATTTTTATTTTATTTTATTTTAATTCCCTAGCAGCTGCTCAAGAATCTGAAAATCATCAATCTCAGTCATTCCCATTGCCTAACAGAATCACCAGATCTTTCCAAAGTCCCAAATCTTGAAAAACTGATATTGGTAAACTGTGTAAGATTGTTTAAGATTCACCCATCAATTGGGCATCTTGAAAGACTTTCGTTGGTAAATCTTGAAGACTGCAAAACGCTTCAGTATTTTCCAGGGGATTTCTGTAAGTCAAAATCAGTTGAGACTCTTATTCTTAAAGGCTGTACAGGATTTATAAAACTGAAGGACGAGTATTTTCCAGGGGAGATGGTATCATCGACAACACTTCAAGCAAGCCATACAATGACGAGGAAATTACCATCCTCAATAGCAGGATTGAAGAACCTGAGATCTGTGCTCCTTTATTTGAATGGCTTAAATTCTTTGACACTTTTAGGTCTTGGAAACTGCGGTTTAACTGATGATGCAATCCCTAAGGATCTTGGAAGTCTACTTTCCTTAGAAATATTGGAGCTAGATGGCAATTTGTTTTATAGCCTACCTAGCCTCAGTGGACTCTCCAAGCTTAAAATGTTAGATTTGAGTTATTGCAAAAATCTTGTTGAAATCCCAGATTTACCAAGTAGTTCGGAAATCTTGAGAGCCAATCAGTGCATTGCACTCGCAAAACTGCCAAATTTTTCAGAAATGTCAAGTATGGTAGAACTGCATATAAATCACTCCCCCAAACTCACTGAGATTCCAGGCTTGCATAAGTCGTTAAACACTATGAGAAGGATTCATATGGAAGGCTGCACCAATCTCACTGCTGATTTTAGGAAGAACATGCTACAGGTCTCTCTCTCTCTCATACACACACACGCACACACATACGCACACACATAGATCCACACAGACACGCCTAAGACATGCATGTATTTCTTATGCATAAGAATGACATGTACATGCTGAGTTTTAGGAAGAACATCCTACAGATCTCTCTCTAAGAGCTGTATTCTCCTCCTCTTTCTATCACATGCCCACAGAGGACCTGTACTGTACATGTACATGACACACGCATGCATAATTAAGGCTATTGCTTATACAAAGTAATCGGGCCTTACATGGTATGCTCTAGGGATGGACTTCTTGCGGACATGGTGACATTTTTCTCGATGGAATTTATGATATTCTGGTGTGGTTTCAGTTTGTTGTTATTCATGAGCCCAAAAATGTGCATTTTAAAGTGCCTCAAATTATTGGTCATAATTTTAGAGGATTGACTCCGTGCTGTGTTTTCGAAACGTATTGTCCTGGATTAACTGTTACAAATTTACAAAGGGTAAAGCTTTTTGCACATCTGGGGAGATTCTGCCTCTAGTGTAGCTAATAGTGTACTCCGTTTGCAAAGTGTATTATCAAATAATGTACTCCATTTGCACAGTTACAGAGGCTCATGGGAGAGGAAGAGTGATGAAAACAAGAGTTAATCTATTCTGGGATGATGGTGATGGCGGTGATGCATACTCTGGCAATGACGAGATTGGTGCCGTACCAAGCAATACTTCATCTGACGAGGTTTGTACTTCCGAAATTATTAGAGTTATATCGTATATTTGCCAAATTTTGGCATCTAAGTCTAGGTTTTAGTTATTTTTATATTTTGTCCTATTTTTGTTTTTGGTTTTCTATATAATTGAACTTCTTTAAATTAATAGCCTCGAGACCCAGGAAGACTATTATTTAGTAAAATATTAAATATTCGATAAATTAAAATTTTATTAATTTATCAACGTATTTTTTATTTTATTAAATAATATAAATTGTATTTAGTTTCATATCTCAAAGATGTAAAGAAATCAACAATCAACCATAGTTGTATACTCTTCTTTCCTAGACTCTTCCATCTCCCTCAGTCCACACCGACAGTTGTCCACCCATGGCTTCCGATCTCAAAAAGCGTGTGAAGGAGGCGTTCATCTAGAACCCCTTGGAGTTGGCCGTAGCATCTGTCAAGCCAAAATACAGGCATGAATTCTACCAGAAGCCAGAAGAAGTGGTTGTGACTATATTCACCAAGGGCATGGCAGCCAAAGACGTTAATGTTGAATTTGGTGAACAAATAATAAATGTTAGCATTGATGTTGCTGGTGAAGATACATATTATTTTCAGCCTCGCTTATTTGCAAAAGATAATACCTACAAAGTGCAGATTTGACGTTCTGTCCACCAAAGTTGAAATTCGCCGGCTAAAGCTGAACCACTACATTGGACATCTCTTAAATTCAGCAAGGACAACTCTGTTCCACTAAGGGTCAGTGGTCCAGTTGCTGGGGTGTCAAGTCCAGACTACCCATCCCTGAAACCAGAAAAGGTAGACTGGGGTAGGGCGGGGGGCCAAGCGATGGGGCAGGAAGAACTTAATTCACGTGCGGAAAATTTTATCCTGAGATTCAATCAAGATCTAGCGATGAGCAGACGAAAAAGGAGACAAGACATGCTGAGGGAAAATTTTATCCTGATATTCAATCAAGATCTATCTGGGAGTGATTTTATTGGTTGTACGGACAATGATTAGTTTTCCAATTAGTCTTTGGCGCTACTCTGGTTTGGATGATGACTCTCTCTTAAGAAATCAACCGGAATTGGGGTATTCGCTTTTGTGCATTGTACAGTCGAAACTGATCCACTGAATTAAAAAATAGAAATGACATTAATTAACAAGAGGTATGTAAATCACCACATTAAAAATGTCCTGCCCCAAACTGTTAGCGAAGGGCATGAACTCTGGACCACCACTAAAGTAAACAATCACTCACCTTAAATCTATATGGAGTCTGAAAAATTCTATCAATACTCACTCGACCAGAAAACCTTATATAACAAAAATTCCCCCATACTTTCCCCAAAAGGGTAATAAATTCCCTTTCCTTACACCTAGCTCCACATGAGCTATTACATTTCTTCTATCAAATCTCATTTTTCTCTATTGAAACATTATTAGTTTTGTCTCCTAAACTTAAGAAAGCCCTCTCACGCTCCACTAATAATTTTTATGATATCATCATCTTCATGCATTGTTACTGAAGAAAGTTGAGATTTCACCATAAAACTAATTGGCAATATGTTATATAGGGAATAGTCCCACCTCTTATAGGTCCTTGTATGTTTTGTTCCCTCTCCAATGTGTGACTTTGTCTTCACATTCTCACACGCCCCCTCACATGTGGCAAATTTTCAAACCTAACACGTGGACAATACAAACAGGGGGATGTGAGCACATGTGACCATTAGGCTTTACACATGGGTCAACCTATTTGAATACCATGAAGAAAGTTAAGGTTCCACCATAAAACTAATTGACAATATGAAGAGCAACTCAACCTCTTATAAGCCCTTTGCATAGTTTGGTCGCTCATCTATCTTCGTCCTCACATTCTCACAGTTAGCACTATTCTTCACATAATTGATCTTCAATTTCAAATTTTCCAGCTCTCTATTCCTCATTTTGTGTCCATCCCGAATTCTAGCAACCCTAACTCAACCAATTTGATTAATCATGTCAAATGACTCGACCTAACAAAGGCCCTACAAAGGCACCATTCAAACTTACAACAAGTTCATATTGCAGCACACTAAATAGCAAACCTTGCCCAACGGGCAAGAGCTCTGGGGAGCTGTGCAAGGGACAGATCCAACCCAAACAATAGCATCATATCCAAAGGTTAAACTTTAAGTTTTTAGATCAAATCCAACAATTAATCATGCAACGATACTACGTGTTTTTAGGTACAAAAGAGAAAAATTGCTATTTAACAATTCAACAATAACTATCCACCAACTTCATTCATGGAAGAGTCTTACTCTTATATCAAAGTGTAGAAGTATCACTTCAAAACTTTCTTTGTTGCTTCTACACGCGGTTTCTGTGAGAATATGGAATTATCGTACGTTGATAAGTTAAAGAAAGCTTCTAAGGAGTTAAACTACTCCTCCCCATTCCCCATGAGACATGGGTTATTAGTTACTGAACAAAAATTTAACTTCCATCACGCCCCACTAATCTTACACAGGCATATAAACTAGTTTGCTAATCGTCAATTAGTAAACTTCATTTTCACCGAAGATGCTTGGATAAGCTGACTGCCAAGATAAATTCATTTTCCAAGAAGATCGTATAACATGTAACATTTCTGCCCATGAAGTTTCACCTATCAATCTATGACTACAAGTTACAACCAAAGCCTACCCTAGTTTCCCTTCTGGGGTAAGAGACCAGATTTCGAACTGTTCGCTATGTACAGATCCAAGATCAAGTGCATTACATAAATTACAAGCGCACTAGACGTACCCAAGTATGTAATGCTATTTAAGGATTGAGTTTGCATCATGTGGTAACCCGTGTTACCCGTCCTTTATTTTTTTTAATTTTTTTTTAAAAGGGACTAGTTGGTGGCTTCGTTACAGCAGTCCACCATTTTGGAGGCCGGAAGACTCACAGATGCATTTTACGTTACCTATCATTTCCATAAGACGCTAAGTTAAAGAAAATAAGACGATGGCAGTTAAGACCAAAAGTAAATTACTAAACAGATTGCCACCCAAAACAAGTTTAGCAGCCACCTCTTCCAGCTTTCTATAAAAATTCCGATGCACTTCATTGTGGATGCATTGCACATCCATAGCATAATCTCTGTGGTCTTCCACCACCATTAAACCCTGCAGTCGCTGCCTCAATATCTCCATGGCATCATCCAACCCACAAAAGTTCTTAAAAACGAGAGGCTTGAGAACTGATGTTGTCCTGAGTTGCAGAAGATTCTTAAGCGCAACGAGGGCCTGCATACCGTTGCAAATAATGAGAAACTAATCATCATAAATGCCATCATAAAAGTCACCAACTGTGCGTAGGCTACTCTCTATAACATGGTTTTCGGGAAGCCATTGCCCGTCTCTTGTCAGCAACTTGTGCCAAGGCTCAACCTTTACGGAACCATAGCTGCTGAGCCGTGGAAAATTTGGAGGAGACACCTTACAGGAGGGATGGTGAAGCCTTGTATTTCTTCACCACGTTGAAGATCAAGGGCTCCCACATCGGTTACAAGACAGGCAAGAATTGGTCCTGGCATGGAGAGACAGGCACCACCGATGTTGAAGCTGCTTATCCCAAGGATGGAAACATCTTTGTTTTGGGCTATGCCAAAAGATTTCACCACAATAGCAGCAAATCGACATCTCGTCAAGAGGTTCCTGGATTATGTATGAATACAGCCTCAAAGACTATTCATCTGTTGTTGGCAATGATGGTGATGAGCTAGTTTTGCTCTGCCAACTCAGAAAGAGCGATAGGACCACGGAGAAGAGGAAGAGAAAGTTTAAGGCTACTAATGGTGGCGGCGACTGTGATGATACTGTAATGCAATCAAAAGGCAAGAAGAAAACTCCAAGAAAAATTGATGATAAATTGGCGGCTGATGATCCTATTTCTACTCCCGCTTCCATGTCCATTCATGATGCTGTGGGTGAGCCATACAGCAACATGCTACTGCTTTCTCCAGAGAAGAATGAAGAGCCGGTGATGGCATGTGCTTCCTACTTGACTGATTTAGCTAGGGTTTGTTATTTTGGCTGGGCGTCGTATCATGTAGGGTTTAGGGTTAATGGCTAATATGATTTTACTAACAGAAGAAAACACTTGATAATGAATATGAAAATACAAAATCCATAAGGCGTTTTTCAATTGACAAACTCGTCATCTTCTCCACTGTGCAATGGCACAAGGCCACCAAGTGTTACAACTCAAAACGAAAGAACATTTCACAATCTAGATAATGACATTCAAAGGACACCAGAACCCTAATCACTTAGTTAAGCAAGTTTGATAACCAACACCTGGTTAGTGCCATAGAATATATGCTTCATCAATTGTCAGGCAGTCTCATCGCTACTTCAGATGGTGGTCGTAAAGTGCAAACCATCAGATCAACGACAATTTGAATTCCAAGGATAAATATATGAAGCCCATTGTAAACCTTACTGTTTAGTCACAACTGCGCAATGGCTCAAGTGCCGGTGAGACATCTAATATGTGGTGATCCAATGCTTTCAGAGGTCATGGATGGCTCTTAGTTCCATAACTTGACAAAACATTGTGTAGTCGGAACTATAGAGCAGGATGAAGAAACATAAGTGCGCATGCAAGGAAGCACAGTACCTGATCGAGTGAATTTCTCAGCTTGCTCTCCATTTCTTCGATCATTCTTCCCATGTTACAAATATGGCCTTCCTGAATTGAGAGGTGCATATTCATCTACAAAGCCAAAAAGAAAGAGTACTTGATCCATCCCAACATATCATACAAATAGTACATGCAAAAGATTTTAAGTGATCATTCAAACAGCAAATCTTGTGTTTAATTAGTTTAAAACATATCAGCTCCAACAATATAACACAATTAATCAAAAAATTGATTTATACCACAATCAATCAAAAAATTGATTCATACAGATTTCACAGCACTTACATTGGCGTACATCAAGTTATTTTATCACAACTATCAAGAGAGAGAAGAGTTGTTCACTATAACTTTCAATAGCTAAAAGGTGTTGAAACTCCTATTTTGGTCAGCACTAAATAAAGCACATGAAGTGTATACCTCAATCACATGTAAGTGTGAAAGAGGGTTGAGTGTCAGGACTATATGAACACCTTCACCACAGATCTACGTTGTTCCTACCATGACAAGTAGAGTTTACCCCAATCACATGTATAGCATCCCATGCCCCCACCTGCAGAAAACCTCTCCTACCTTGTCCTGTCTTGGAGCCATCTGAATCCCCTCAAATAATAAAAAACAGCATGTATACATGTAAAAGAACATAAATTGAAAGTTTAGGCAGTATACCTTTCTTTAGTAAAAAGCAGCCTACAAAACCTTCGTTATCATCCTCGCACATATAAACTGACGAAATGCCACCTTCATAGTACCTACCAAATTACCGGTTAACCAAGCTATACGAAATCTTCAGAATGAAACAAAGAACTGAACCATTATGCTAAATAAATTGCACGACGATACTTTCGATACATTCTTGCATTTTTCTTTCTTTTCTTTGTTTTTTTTTTTATGAAAATTAGGTAATGGAAGAAATATTATTTTAGAAGTGTTTTATACAGTTTAACCTATGCAAAGAATAACACAAGAACAAGGTAAGTAAAGGACCTCTCTGGTCACAATAAATGGCGAAGATGTTGTTTGCTTCAACTTCAAGTCCTCAACTCTAAAGATGGGAGGCTGCTGTCTTCTAGGGGCGGATGATATTTGTTTGACCAAGGCGATCTACATGGAAATATAGTAGCACAAAAATATCAACATGGACAATCGATATTCACAGAACAGAAACGATTATAAGAAAAAATAAACTACTAGATTACATAGTTATACATGTATTGCACTAATCACACCAATTAAATCAGCATATGAACCAAAACAATAAGTTATATAAATCAAAATATATCAAACATCCAGATTCACAAATCAAGGCCAGATCTGCTACCTCTAAAATGTCCCTAAAAAATGTAGCAATTAAAGTGTAAAACATCAGAAAACTAACACCAATGCATCAAAATTGACAAAGATTTGAGGGTTTTACCTGTAAGAGTCTGCGTCTCTGTTATATTCACACAAAATGAATTGCTTCCCGTATTCCATATCGCACAAATCCTGAATTTTGGGAAACCAGAGAGCAGCACGGTGACTTTAAAATTTGAATTTGAAGAGAACCCTTTTTTTTTTTTTTTTGGGATTAAAATGAAACCCTTGAGAAAGAAAATGGAAAGTGAAAATTGAATTGGAATTTCTCGGGAAACAAACAGGGGAGAACCAGGAGGGGCTGATCGACTTGAGAGAGGAGATCAGAGGAGTGCTGGGGGAGAAGGGAGAGAAGGGCGGATAGAGGCGTCTCGGTGTGCTTGGGAGGCATCCGATGCATCAGTCTCATCGCCGCTTCCATCTTCCCTTTCTTTTCTTTTTTCTTTTTTTTTTTCAAGTTCGAAATTCTGTTTTGATTTCTTTCGTTTCACGAGTCTCTAATTATTTTTTGGGTTGTTTGGTTGTTCGGGTTGATAAAATTCCTAGAACGAAAAAAAAAAAGGCGCCTTGTTTTGTTTGACCCGAGTTTCCTCGCGGGAACTCCTCAACACCCCATTCACACAGTTATTTGTGACTATATTATTATGATAAATTTTATTTAAACTCGTTAATAATCTTTCCACATCCGACTTTTATGTATACCATGTCTTAGAATCTGGATGTTCTAACTTTTATGTTTTTGGATGTTTTATTTTTCATAATACTATTCACAATCTTGTTCCCTCCATTCCAGTGGATTGTCAAACCGTCGCAAGTTTGATTTCATTGATTTGGACGTTTCTGACTAAAACCACTTTATGTGGCTACAAGACGTGAATCTCCACTTGACTATCAAGAAGCTGAGAAACCATTTGTAGCCAACAATGGTATAGAAGAACTAAATAAGCCTCTGTCATGATCTTCATTCAAAGATTTATGCCTGAAACATAACAAACGGAAGTAACTCCCTAACAAGGATTCCATGGCTATTTAGCTCACTCCTACAGACCGTTTAATCATGAAAGTTCTTGCCTGAAGCATACCATGAGTATGATTTTGTAGTTTATAAATCCGATTGAATTTTGACTGGAGAATACTTTTCTCGTCCTTCCTTATTTTTAACTCGCTTCAAAAACAGCAGCATAGAGAGTGGAAGTTTACCAAATTCTCGGATCTGATTACTACCAAAAACGTGTGAGAAAGGTATAGACCCAGCTTCAGCTGGAGTCTACCAAACGGTATAGACCCAGTTCGGCTGAAATTTACCGAATGGCTTAACCCAGTTCGGTCCAAGCCCACCAAAATATATGCTCTGCTTCGGCGCAGAGGCATACCGAACAAACCTCTCCAGCTTCAATTGGAACATTTCGAACTTAAGTATGGGTTTGCCTCTCTCACAATCCAATTTCGAGTTTGTTTTTACAACATATGGTAGAATTAGGGCCTGTCAAGGTGTGGCATCACAACTCGAAGTGTGATCCTTGGCATCTAAGACCTAAAACTTCAAGAATAAGGGATATTGTTCCCAAACCTCAACCTTGCAGAATCTAATTCAATCTTAGTGGAATAGATTCAGTGGTTATGCACCTCTTCATGCCCCTAACAATGTCGTTAAGGAGTACCATCTCATAATCAATATGTGAGACTAATTTTGCTCCAAAATTTTGACATGGATGACCTTGTTGGGGGAATCTCTTTAGTAACTTTGGTTTACTTTGTGGATAATCTTATCGATTTTTTCCTTGATAATGCCAGAAAGTTTAGAAGATTGGATAATACCAGAAAGTTTATATCGAAGGTTTTCGAGAAGTATTGCATTTTTTTTTTTGGGTTTATAATTGGACATTGAATTCCCATGTTCACCCCAAAACAGCCTCGCAGAGTGATCATAAAAGTTAATTGATCGCTGGACCTTGGTGAACCCACCAAGCTGTTGGTTTCTTGAGCTATGCAATCATGTACACAACTATGTTGATCTGCTTTGAGGCCATTGCCACCTAACCTATTCGACATTACAGTTGGTTACTAGGTATAAACCTGACGTTTCATACTTACACATTTGGGTGTGCATTCCATGTGCCAAGTTTACGCCACCGCAACGTACCAACATGGTTCCTTAAAGAAGGATGTGAATCTTTGTTGATTATGATTTTCCTTCGCACAAGCTCTTTACAACCCTTGCATGCAATCTCTTTTACCGCTCATTTTGTGAATTGTCACTTCAATGAGACAGTCTTCTGGCTTTTAGATGGAGATAAGAATGTCAAAGTTCCTGTAGAACGACGTAGATTTGCATGGACATTGCCCATTATGTCTTATATCCACACAAGTGTGATAAGTATGTGTGATGTATTCTAACTTTCAGAATGTTGATCCAGACGCATTCCTTTGATCTAGCTAAAGTGACAAGATCATATACTAGCTACAAACATGCATGCAAGGATATACGTACTTAACGGACGTTGAGCCAACATTCCTGAAGGGTGTTGGCTACCTATGTTGGGCGACTTGGTACCTTGGCGGATGGTCAATCAATCTGTTCTTGGCCTAAAGCACGACATATCACTCGGTTCATAAGATTCACTTCCCTAGAAGAGAAAGATCACGACACAACATGAATCCATAATCGATTGTCATCTCAAATAATTTCCACCTCAAGAGATTAATCTGGATTACTTCTGAGACTTGAAGTTCTTGGTCCAGTATACTAGTTTAGATAAGATATGGAATTGGAATGAGATTATCATCGATGATGTTTTCACTTATATGGTAGCTACGGACATAAATGAAAACAGACGATTTCGAATTACGTTCTGTTGATTAGTAACAACATAGAACTAATTGGACAACTAAGATTACAATCTATGCTGTCCAAGGTAATCCTATTGTGTTGCAAGTGGGAAAGGAAACGTAATGAGATGAATGAAATAACATTACTTACGGCGCAATGTTTCTCTCAAACACCCTGTGATTGACTGTAGAATTATGAATGTGGTTAGTGTTTCTCGATAGGAATATTGATACGGAGATTGACATGTAAGTTCTCGAAGAATTACATGAACTAGTTTAGAAACTAAGACCACGGAACACCCTCTCAACTTGTTTGAGGCGTTCACTTACGGATTGAAACAATCTGGCAGATGTGGTATACCTGTCTAAGTGATTATTTGATCAATTAGAGATATGAATTATGCCATTGCATGTTAAACTATGAAGTCATATTCCGAATTGCTAGAGTCATAGTTTATGTTGATGACATGCATCTCATTAAGACTCTAGAAGAGCTTGAGAAAACTGTCTAACACCTAAAGATGGAAATTGAGATGAGGATCTTGGGAAAACTCGTTTATGCCTTAACCTGAAGTTTTAGCGTTGTTTTGTGTTTTGACAGTATTTTGGTCTACTAGTCGAACTACACCCCAAAGGTGTTATCTTTTGAGTATACCTATGATCTTCCATACACTATATGAAAATGAGACCCTTGAAGAGGTTATGGAATCTAAAGTTCCATATCTGAGTTCAACTTTACGCTTTGTTGTACTTAGCTTATTATGTTAGACATGATATCTCCTTCGTTGTTGATCTATTAGTAAAGATGTAGCATCGTGCCTACATGCAACCACTGAATTGGTAATAAAGACGTTTTTTTTGCTACCCTGAAGGTACTACGGATTTGGGCTAATCCTAACACATCCCGAGCAGATCCGACCCCTTGATCATCGAAATGATCCCAGCCTTGTTTGTTATGTTGATGCAAGATGCTTATCAAACCAACAAAAGGGACATCCCCAAATGTCTATGTCTTTACCATTAGGGATACTGTAATATCTTGGGGGTTCAACGATATAACCTTAGTTGTGAATATTCAAATCATTCCAAGACTCACCTCACTTCATTATGCCACATGTGAGACATGGTTAAGAGCTATTATTGAGCATATTCGAAGTACATGAGATGTCTTCATCCATCGTTGAGTCTTAACGACAATCTATGAAGACTATGCCGCATTTATCAACCCGACAAAGACATGATACATCAACGAAGTCAACGCCAAGAGATATTGCTTCTACACCATATCAGCAAAGCATCAGGAGATTGATGTTATGCAAGCCGATCCCAGACAACCTTGCCGACCTTTACATGACGTCTCTGCCGAAGTCTACTTTCTCAAAACTTGTCTGAGGAATTGGTATGCCTAACTATTCATATGCAATGCTTGTCGTTCTTATTTGGAAATTTTGTCAAACTCAACGGAAGTTTCCAAAAGTATACTCATTTAATCTTAATGTACTTTTTTTCCTACGATTAGGAGCACTTTTCCCACTGGGTTTTTGCTACCTAACTAGGTTTTGACGAGGCACCCATCTTGGGCTGGTCATACCTTTGTGAGCTCTTTTACTTACATCCAGAAGACGTATAATTTTGACTTAGTGCAACTTCTCACCTTTCTCCTTAGTCTATGGGTTTTTTCTCCCACCTTGGGTTTTACCATAACGAGGTTTTGTAAGTTCTACCTTTTATGCATGCTTCCGTTGTTTTGAAACTCGCATTCACTCATTGTGTCGACGACTTCATCAAGTATATTTACTTCATCGTTGAAGACCTGATGCGTCATTTACTTGAGTATTTACACACTCAAGGGGGAGTGTTGCAGTCCTATTAGATTAGAAATGTGATTGTGTAAATCCTATAATATCTGAGATATCTCTTTGACTAGATATTATTCTATTAGAGTTGTAATCCTATTAGGGTAAGGAATTTACCTTCCTTACTACTATAAATAAAGGCATAATGGGATGACATAACAAACACCTCACAGTTACACATCTCTCTTTCTCTCTATGCCACCGCACCCTCTTTATGCCCTTTATATTGTTTAGTGAATTAGGCGTACAACAATATATAGATTGTATAATGAAAGCTATGATATTTCATAGTTCGAAATAAAAACTTGAGCAAACAGATTGTGAAATTGATAGTAGTACAATTTGGTCAATCGATGACATTTGTGCGGATTCTTTATACTTGTATCTACATTTTTCAATCAAATATTCAATTGTGCTACAACATTCTACGATTACATCGAAATAAGAGTTCAGAGGTGATTTTTACTATTTATAAGAAATTCGAATTTCGAACAGTAAATAAGCACCTGATTTTATCATATAGGAGAACAATGAAAAAAACTGTTAAGAAATATATAACAAACCTCATGGCAGCAACAATTTGCAAGTTGAGATGACAGCTTGGCATTCACAGCCTCTAATTCCTGGATTTTTATTTGCAAATAGGTTATTAAAACTATACATTTGTTAAAAAAATGTAAATACTTTGAAATACATCTTGTAGTATAGGAATGATTGGTTGAGAAGGCGTGTAGAGCTCCAGTATGCTTATCGGCTTGGGTTTTCGCACCACCTCATTCTCTCAGTCTACCTTTATTGGCAGCGTCACTTGTGGGACTCTCACAAGCTTCTTTGTTTGCTTCTACTTGGAGGTTGCGTTCGAAGAAAGTTTCATTGATGGATTATGGGTCTTCCTTCCTCCCATCTCTGAGGCACTATGATG